AGCAGTGTACTTTGTCAGTTGACCTGTTCTGCTCCCCCCTCTGTCTCTGGTGAGTCCTCTTACCACCCCTACACTTCTGGCCTGCACCCCAGTTCAGTATGCATAAATAAATAAAATCTTTAATAAAAAAAAATCTTAAAAGTAGATAAATAGTATCATCCAAGCAACTGCATTGTTAATTTGAGGGCAAAAATAATTTTATTAGAGAGCAGGTGGTAATCTTACAATTTTAAAGCTTTAGCCATAAAGATCAGCAGACTGGGATAATCAGCTGAACTTGAGGGACTGCTGAATCATTTAAATGCCATATTTTATGCAAGTGTGGCCTACAGCTTTCATACAATTCTCAAAGGAATGTAAGCTAATGTAAGATAAAATGGGTTGATTTAGGGAGTCAGTCCTTCTCAGAAAAAGTTATTTAGCTATGTTCAGTCCCATAATCCCTAGTTTATTGTTATAATCTCTAGGTTATATATAAAAGATGGATATGAGCTATGTGACAGTCTAACGTTCTATTTATTATTTTAGCATTCATAAGTATCTAACTTACTTCTGAAGGGCCTTGTCCTTGTTAAAAATAAAAATGCAAATAGTTTACTTCAAACTAATAAGCTTTCTGAAAACTAACAGTTAAGTGATATTTTATTTAATTCTAAATTTTATAATAGTTTTCTTACCAGCTAATGCTTCTTTTGTATCGTCATCTTTAGAATCTTCTTTAGATTCATCTGTTTCTGTACTATCATAATCAAATGACTGATTAACTGGTTCACAGGGGTTAACTGTATGGTCATCCATCACTTTAAGTAGAAGATAAATATGTTTAGTAAAGTAAAAATAAAATCCATAAATATTAATGTACACATACACAAGAAAATGGAAATAGATACCAAAACAAATTCCATATTCACAAATAAACACTCATTGGCAATAAACTTGAGAATGATGTTTACAAGTACTAGAGATTATAAAATAAAATAGAATTGTTAAAACTACTTTTTTTTTTTTTTTCAGAAGAAAAACTACATAGAATATTTACAAGAAGGAGCTACAAGTCCTTTACAAGTTACAATCTGTAAACTGGCTTTTGAATCTTTTTTAATAAGCTACTATGACATATATACACATTATGTATATATACTATGTAATGCACATATACAATGCATATAATATAGTATATACATTATATATCCCGGAAAGTATATATACATTATGTCAATATGGAAATTTCATAAACTCAAGAAAGAGCAAAGTAAAAATTTAGGAAATCAATGTGAAGAAAACTTTTTCAAGTAATTTATAGGTTTGATTTTATTTAAATATTTATAATTCCAATTAAGTAAAAATATCTAAAATGTTAAACTATTACTTATTTTAACTTTCAATTTAAGTTCAGTATTCCTAGTGAACTTTGGGGTTTATTTTATGTGTCAATATGCTGATCATAAACTGGATGAAGAATAACTTTCATTTTAATGGTTTCTTTTCCTTCTACCTTGTCTTAAAATGATCCTTAAGTGTGCCCAGAGTGCTCATACCACCACTGCTGTAACAATAGAAGTGCCGATCACTTCTTTAGGAGCTAATTTTGTTCGCAAGTACCTTTTGCAGCTTCTTCGATGACTTGCCTCACAGCTTTCTTTAAGCTGTTTGCCCGCAGCATAACTTCCTTTGGCTTGATGAACTTCTGCGAGGAGGGTTTTGTCGTGTCATCCATGAGTTGTTCCTTGCTTTCACACAAGGAATCTTCACTTGAAGATTCTACAGGATCTTCTTCTACGATGACAGGGCTGACCCCAGGGAGAACAGAAACAGCCTGTGAGTCTGTGTGCAAGGCCTGGAGCAGTTGATCAAGCTTCTCGTTGAGGACTGAACACTAAGAAACAAAAATTCAGTCATGAGTTTCCACTTGGTGAAAAAGGAAAACAATAACTTGAATGATTTCTTATTTAAAAGGAAAATGCTTATTTTGATGGTCACTATTAATTGGGAATCTTTTAAATTATATTTTAAACAGTTTGTGGTCTAAAGAATTTATAATAAAAAAAATAGTACACTCATAAATTTACTGAGCTATACTTCCAGAACCATTCAGACCCCATATCATGGGCAAAAGCCTATACTATATATAATTATTTTTCCTTAGATGAAAACAACAAGTACTTAACTATAAAGTACTTACACACACAAAAAAAATACATTAAGCAGAATTTTCTGTGCAGAATTTTGTTATACAAAATTACTTTAAAAAAATCAACTATGACACAATTTTGAACATATCAATGCCAGGTCTGGCTCTTTGCAAGTGTGCCTTCAGGGTTTTGGTTTGCAAGGGAGTGAATAGTGCCTACAGGATTACTGGCTTGAAGAAAGGACAGGAAGGAAAATGCACAAGAATAAAAAAGTAAAAGAAGGGAGATGCAGAAAGAAGGGAGATTCAACTTTTGTTTCTTTCTGCTTTTGAACCACTGGGGTTCAAAACACTTAGGACTAAAGTTACTGATACTACAGTTTAAAACACCTTTCACATACATACACTTCCCACTTCTTTCCTCCTCTACTTGTCTTTGATGACATGCTAAGAAAAAGTCACAGCAGAAATAGTTAAAAGTAATTAAGTGTGGTTAGGGAGGGTTTCTATCTTCTGAAGCTCTCCACAGAATAGAATAACACAAGAAAAGGGAAAATGTCTACATTTACTTCCATTTTCTATTCTTTCTACTCAACCAAACCGCTATCTCCAGCATAAATCTGGGGGAGATCATTCCTTTGCAAGCCCAAGACAGCCAAGTCTTTATAAGAAAGTCTTGTCATGAACACATAAAAGCTTTTAAGGTTTGGTAAACAGCTCTAATTTTAGAGAGTTCATGAAGGGGAAAAATGTATAAGGAAAAGGCAATGCAGGTAACAGAAATCTGACAGGAATGAATAACCAGATAGCTAGGAAATCCGAGGAACCATGCTGAGAAGGGCCTTGACTGCCACAGTTTGCCTGGAAGGAAAGGCAATCTGGGACACCAGCACCCTGCATCTCCCCCAACCCCCATCCCATTCACCTTCTATTGTGCATTTCTCTCCCAAGGTGTCAGTGGGGAAAGAGACCTGAGTTCTAAACTTTGACCTGTCAGATGATCTTTAGCAATGCAATTTTTCTATATATTAAAAGGTAACCATAAAATGTATGTTTTTAAACCCTCATATCTGAAGCAAAAGTAATTTTCCCTTTATTTAAAATGTTTTAGCAGGAAAACCTGTAAGCAATTTAAGTATAAAATATAATTCAGCATTAATGTTGTTAGAACAGGTGCCTCTTACTTTACTGGACACAGCATCAGCTACAACAGCATTTTCCAAAGTTTTTTCATGTGCCTTCTCTACTTTGGCAATGAAGTCTTTTACAGTTTCACATAGTATCCTTTGAGGAAAAGAAATTACGAAATTCAGTAATCTCAGCATATTGATTAGCTCGGATTTATACAATCTTTAAAAGAATAAGCATGACCAGGCAAACTGTCAAAATTTCATTTTTATATAAATCCACCCTTCGACCTACTGTATAACACATCCTAGAAAAGTTCAAGACATTCTGGGATAAATGGATACTGACTAAACCTTGTGCTACATAATTTAAATAAAAGAAATTTTCATTTTATAAAAATCCTTTCCAAATATTTGCATTGTATCTCAAAAAGATATTGTTTAGATGCCATTTTTTAAGACAGGCATTATCTCCCGAGCCTACTTATTTCATAGCATAAAGTTGCAGTGTCAAACAAACAAGGGTGAATTTGTTACTTATGTTGTCTCTGTGGCTCCAGTATTCATCACTTGGATATCTTAATACATTGTCTTGAAGAGTAAAGAGGCTGTCTATTATGTGGAAAACAACCTGCTACTTTACTTGAGTTGTATTATCAACAAATCCACCTTTTTTTTTTTTCCCATTAAGATAACTGATGCATTATATGTGCTCCTTCTGGGTAAGTTATTAGGTATCAATCAAATACATTTTCAATAGAGTTAAAATTTAACAGTATTTAAAGTCAACTACTAGCCTCAAAAATTAAAAACATAATCAATGCAAGCTCAATTTAGTTTAGGTCATGTAAGCATTAGCAAATGCGTGGTTTGCTTTTTTTTTTTTTTTTAATTACATTGGATTTCTTAGGAATAGAAATAGGACAAAAGAAAAAAAGAAACAAAATTTGTCTTTCAAGTCTTTGGAACTGGTATTGAAAAAAACAACAACTTAAAGAGATTGTGTGTGTGTGTGTGTGTGTTGTAGCAAAAGCTCACAGTGATTCTAAAAACAAAATCAGACTATTTTAACGTGCTTCTTTTCATATTCACATAGATGGATTTGATGAAAAGAAAACCAGTCTTCCATAGTTATTGTTTCCATTATATGTACAATTTTCTCTGATACATGAGTGATATAATGGGTAAGTTTCTAGATACTTAAACGATAGGAAGCTGAATCATGTAATAGGGATAGAACACACCCACACTTTCTGAAACTTTGCATTTATCTAGGCGATAAACTCATGACTCCTTATAATTTTTGTTTGTTGTTTTTTGGTAAGTGGAGAGTGTACATTCTTTGTAAGCAATACAATTCATTAAACAAGAAGCCACGAGCAGCACACCCATCAAACAAAGAGAGTCTGCAGCCCACTCCTGCCTGGCAACCAGTGGGCTTTCTTGCCCTCGTTGTAACTCGTTCCCTATTGCTCACTCATATTTCCCGTTCCTGGGGCTGTGAGGCCTAAAGCAGTCACTACTACACTTGTGCTTTTGTCACTAAAAAGAACTTTGTTTACAATGCTCCTCTTGTCTCTGACTTTTTGCACCTTAAACATACACTAAAGTTTGCGTAATTTTTCGTTCACTACTTTCCCACTCCCTTTCTTCCCTTCTTTCCCTTTTTTTTCTCCATTCTTCATAATAGTAACATTTCAGTTCCATGTGGAGTTGGGATCCTAAAGTTTTTTTTTCTAGTCAATTGAAAATTTCAGTTGGTTTCACCACTTCCTCTAGTTGACTTTCAATTTTCCTGACATCAATGAAAACTCAATTCTGTGTTCCCATCAGGCAACATTTGAGATAATACAATCAACTTGCTTTGGTTCCATGAATGGAATCACCTTAACTAAAATCTGATAACTTTGAATTAAAATATAACTCCACATTAAATGTGGAGAATTGCCATTTTGAAAAATCCTATTATTTTCTTTTTTGATATAAATATTTCCTAAGTACTAGTTTTTATAGAAATAGCATATAATGAAATGTGTCTCCCATATTATAACTATAAATAAATGCTTCTTTAAATGGCCCTTGCATTAAACTTAACCATTGTAACTTTTTGACAAAAGTGTTTCAAATTAAGCATTGAAAAATATAACACTCCACTAAAACTAAAATGCTAGTGTGGTTTTTTAATACAAAAATTAAATGACTACTTCTGTAAATCATTTCACAGATAGTTTTGGGGGGGAAAATGACAAAGAAGGGACATAAATTGTAGGACCTTTCATTTTCATCATATAACTATTTCATGACTTCAATTCCACAACTCACTTGGCAGATGATATGATCACTCCATGTTCATCAGAATTGAGGATTTTTGTAAGATGAGTTGCAACTGAGTCTTCATAAATTGTCATCTGAGAAAAGAAATAAACCTACACTGTAGTATTGTTGCTAGCATTTATATAAATCAGCTTATTACACCATCAAAAATTGGACCATTTATGCCACACGTGATACAGGGAAATGGTGATTAAAAATATATGAGTCATTATACAAAACAGATTAATATTCCTCTCTGTAAAAGGCCTAGAGTTTCTGGAATTCTTTAGTTTATATTAGAGAATAACCTGTAAAAAACCATTTTATAAATATTGAAAGTTTCAAATAGCTGAAAATTAAAGAAATGCTACAAACCAGTAAAAAGGAAGCTAGCTAATCATAAAAAAAAAAAAGGGGGACAAGACTAAAAATTTAAAGAGGAAGATACACCACTGGTGGATGAACAGGTGAGAAGGTACTCAACCTCATCAGACGTCAGGCAAGTGTACAGTAAAGCCGAGGCTATGCCACACTGCTGCCAGAATAGCCAACATGAAAGCAAGAACAACTGGACAATGCTAAGTATCAGCACGGATGTGGGGCAACATTACCCCCATACAGTGGAATTGGGAAAGCACATAGCAACCAACAAACTAGAAAACCCATGGGGGGTGTATTAATTAAAGCTGGACACATGCATAATACTGTAGGATCCAACAATTCAACTTCTACAGACACACCCAAAAGAAAGGCAACTGTGCATTCACCAAAGACATATATTAGAATGTTCATAGCCGCATTTGTTCAATAGTAGAATGGATAACAAATTTTAGTGTATCTTTGTAATGGAATATGACATGGCATTGGGAATGCATGATTTATAACTATGACTCCACATAGATAAATCTCAGAAACAATGCTATCTAATTCAGAAACAAAGGAGAACAAAAGGAGTGAGTCTATTCTATAAAGCACAAAAACAGACCAAGTAATCTATCTAGTTAGAAGACAACATAGTGGTTACTGGGGTAGAGGTAGGGGAAGAATGAGGGAAAGAGGGCATAAGAAAGGATCCTGGGCTGCTGGTAACACCACCTTGTCATTTGGGTGTTGACGATAGGATCTGCTTACTTTGTGGAAGCATGCCAGGCTATGTGCATATGACACATGAACTTTTCTCTATGAATATTATAAAAGGCTTGTAAAAAGCTGACTCATCATATAAGCATGTAAATATTTCTTTTAAATAATACAACAATCAAAATATTTCTTTCTAATAATACAACAATCAAAATACTAAAGGAGTCCTATATTTGTTCTACTCTCTCTCTCTTCCCCCCCCCCACTATATCCCAGTTTGCTCTTTGACTCAAACTTTAACATTCTGTAGAAAGGACACATCTTCCTAATAAGAAAAAGGTGAATAATATTTAAACATTAATCTCACATTCAGTCTTCTATCAAATGTTTGCCTCAATATTCCATGTTATATAGCTCGAAGTTTCCAGTATCAACCATCTGCTCTATCTAGCTGGCCTCTTAAGTGCCTCTGCTTGACTCAAATAGCCTTTCATAGCTTCTTACCAATCATTCAGTCTTAAGTGATAATTCAATTACCAATTTTCCCCCTACCCTCCACTTCTTAGTAAAACTGTCCTGACAATCATCTTCCCAAAAGGTTCTCATTTTTTATTTACCAGTTCTAATGGCTAATCAGTATATGACTCTTAAATTTCTATCTTATTTCCTTCACAGGCAGACCACATGTGGATAAGAAATTTTACATGAAAGAAAGGAGAGGAGGAGAACCACAAAGTTTCATATAGTATTGTTTTGACTAGAATATCCACTTTATTAATCTGATCTAAACATTAAAAACTGTGTCTACAGTTAATTAAAAAATGAAATCATCTTCTACAAAAGAAAAGGAATTATATTTCAAATATATCAGTTTTCTTTTCCCTATAGAGTAGATTGTCATGAAGTATAAGAAGGTAGGAAAAATAGTTTGGCATTTTGGGGCCCTCCCTGGTGGTGCAGAGGATTAAAGCGCAGAACTGTGAAGCTAAAGCCACTTCCACATGAGTTCGATCCCCGCCTGCCCCAGAGGAGATCCACATAGCGGTGGCAGACCTCTCCTGACCCGCCCGATGCTCCCCTCAGCAGTGTACTTCATTGATCTGCCTGTTTTGCTCCCCACTCTGTCCCTGGTGACAGGGAAATCTCTGGTATGTACCCCAGTTCTGTATGAATAAATAAATAAATAATAGTTTGGCATTTTGTTGTTGTTGTTCTAATTAATTATTTTAATTGAGGTAATACTGGCTAACATCATTCTTAGTATTTGGGAAGAATAGGATTCCCTTCTCAGGTATTGCTACTACAGTGCACCCACCACCAAATCTTCCCCAGTCCAACATAGTCTATTGTGTTCTGTCCCCTTTTTGTTCTTACCTCTCCTCCACATCCTTTCCTCATAAACGCTTCAGTTCTATAGTTATTTTCAAGGGCTAGTTTTTAAATGTGTCTTTATCTAACCCTTAATTTGATTTCTCTATATTCCACATATTAAGTGACACCATTTGGTATTTATGTTTCTCCTTCTAACTTATTTCACTTAGCACTATACTTTACAGCTATATCCACATTGCCATAAATAACATGAGTTTATGCTTTTTCGTCGCTGAGTAATAGTCTATTGTGTGTGTATACTTCTTGATTCACTCAACTATTTGTGAGCATGTAGGTTGTTTATAGGTACTTAGAGTATTTCCATAGTTTGGCTATTGTAAATATCGTTCAGTTAACACAAAAGACCTTCCTGAATCCCCACAGCTCTCCATAATTCAACCCCCCCTTACCAAATTCTTCTGTGGAATCTTCTGATGGATTTCCCCTGCATCATGTCCTCTGACTCTACAAAATTATTTTAGTGGCAGAAAATTTTCAATAAAGCTCTATGGAATGCTCTTTAACAACTGGTTAATTCTTACTTCTGTTTTTTTTTTTTTAACACGAAAAACCCAGTTTAGGCACAACCTCCTCATATAAAGACCACTCATGAGGCTGAGAGCCCTCTCTTCTTATAACCTATGCCCTCGGTATAACAGCAACATTGCAGATCATTCCTTGTCTGTCAGGTTAACCTGTGACCAAGGTCATGTTATCCCTTTAATATGAGATATTTTGATAAGTAACGCAATAAATGATATTTTATTCAAAACACTTTGTATCAAAAAAAGGAATTTCTTTCAAGTAGTTACAATTGAACCTTATATTTAGTGATTCTATAGTTTGTAAAAATGAATTATCTACCTTTGTTTCTATGCTGGGAAATATACATCTTTGAAATAGATGAAATTTGGAAAATCAGTAGAGAAAATTTAGTAGAGAAAATGAATAGCATTTACAAAAACACTTTTTAAAACTGACTGGCTTCTACAAAGACATAGATTATATTTATAATTGAATAAAATTATAAATAAAACTGTTGTTTAAAGTAAATAAATTTTTAAATAGTGGTTATTTCTGGGTGTCAGAACTATACGATTTTTATTTCTTTTTTATATAATTTTGTTTTTAAAAAATTTTTCAGAAGCAGTTTCTGTTACTTTATATCAGAGAAGATTCTCAAAAACACAACTAGCTTCTTTAAGGAACAGCCCCTGTTTCTAGTTATAATTCCTTTTCTTAATTCTGACAAGATCTTAATTTTCTTACTGACAAAACAAAGATTTCAACTGTAAAAGAAACAGATGAATTTTCCTAGAGGGAAAAATAAGCTATCATAGATTAAATGGTCTTAATGAGTCAGATAATAATCCTTTGAAAATTAGGCTCTGTTTTAAATCTTCAATGCTTTGAGGTCTAATCACAATGCTGAATCTTCAAAAACAGACATCTAAAAACGAGTCATGAACGGTCTGTAGCAGGGATGGAATGGAATGAAACAATCTTTCTCTCTTTTGTTTTATCTTGATCAACCTAGCTTACCCTAGAGACCTGTTCAGATGCACCCACAACAAGAGCAGGCAACAGGAACAGCGATGACAGAATATTCTGGCCATGCACATTAGTGTGTTTGGTGACTGCTTAAAGGAACGGGACTGACACCTAACATTCAGACAGGTGCTCGTGACCCAAGCAGATGAGTAAATGTTAAAAAATGGTAGATATGGTGACTTCTATCTTGTATCAGTTGACAGGAAACTGATTGGCTGGCCTCCCTGGAGCATGTTGGCAAGAGGAAGCAGGCAGTTTGGTTGGTTCAGGGAGAACCACGGGGAGTGGAGAAGGGAAGGGAATGCCTGTTGTTTTATGCATCTTCAGGACCTCATTTAATCCTCACAACACTGTAGCCTCAGTGGACAGATGACGGATCAGAGGCCCACAATGGTGAATGACACGGCTGTACTCCCACTGTGGCTGATCACAGGCCTCTCACCTCAATTGTAAGACCTCTTTTTCCCGGGAGTGATTTCTAGACATTCAATGAGACTGTATCCTACGTAATAATAAAGGTAAGTCACCATATCTACCATTTTTTAAGAGGATGTTTTCCCAGTTTTTCAATACATATACCCCATTTTCAAGTAATAAATAGGTAAAAGGTTAAAGTCTTACATAAAATTCTTCAGATGCTTCTGGAGGTTCTGGAAGTAGAGAAGCCTTCGGTGGCAATTTGAGTTCATAAGTCATTATACTCCACCTGAAGGGAGAAAAATCTTGGCTCTCATCTGACATACACACATATGCACATGTATTTATAAACTATGATTTATTGTATCTAAAATAACCAATATACAAAGAAAGAGATGGAATTTTGTTAATCTCACAACACCGAAGTCATAATTTACGATTTCTACCTCTTACCATTTATCTGTTGAGTGACTTCCACATGTTTTAGGGACATATCCATGGGAAGAAACACAAATAGGGAACAATAGTTCCCTTTCTTCACTAGGTGCAAGGCTTTCTGACTTTCCTATTTCACATTTTAAATAGTGCTCATTGCAACTGATTAACTAGGTTATACCAATTACTAGTGGGTCACAACCCAAAGTTTAAAAACAATGTCCTATATTAAATAAATGCTACTACCTATGAGAAATAAATCACTCCCCAAGTCTTGCCAAGTCTGCTTACACATATGTAAAATGAAAATTACCTGGCTACTTTTTCTAAAATTAAGAAAGAAAGTAGTAATCATGAGATTAAGGAGAAAATATTCATAGGAAGAATAATAGGAGCAAATTTATTTCAGTGAGCAGTAAATATTAACTTTAAAGCAAATGTTGAATGATTTGACGTTACAGAAAAGTAATTAGCTCCAGATAAGTCCAGTCTTCTCTCTAAAATAATGATTTTCAAATCTGGTAAGAACAATTGGGTGGGAACATTACTGTTATCAGTAATGGCTTGTAAAATAAAACATTTGCAAAGCTACAAAGCATAATACAAGCTTTACTATAATAATTTTATGAAAAGCATATTACAGCTGAAGCCAGAACCTAGAGGAAAAACCCCAAGTTTATCATCAATATTTAAACAGAATCTTAAGTATCATTCAGACTACTAAGAATTAGTCTTTGCATAAAAATCCAAATTCTCAGAAAGTCCTCCAAAAGACAGGTTAAACATTAGGATGCATAAACTGAATACTGATCTAGAGCTACTATTCAACTCTTGACTTGAAAATAATATAAAGAAATATGTATTTGAGCACAAAAAGCCATTCATTCATCCAACGAATATTTACTGTGCTTCGCAAAATGACAGACAGTATTCCAGGGTCTGCAAATAAAATGGTGAAATAAGACTTTCTTAATGAAGTTTATATTCTAGTGCAGAAAACAGATATAATACAACAGCAAATAAACTCTGTAAACACACGATGGGGCAAATCACACCTGGAAACAAGAAAACTTCCTCATAGCTGCAACTCTCTCTCAAAGTACAGTGAAACGGTGTCTTAAATTCTTTGTCCCTCCCATGCTGTATCTCCTCTGCTGGGTGGAACTGAAGAATGACAACAAAGTAGGGCACCAGGCAGGAGGTTACCTGTTAGGCTGAGTTAGAGACTAGGGGAGCATGCATACATCAGAGGGGAGGGAGCACAGATTCAGGGGAAGTTTGGAAACTAGAGCTTGGAGTACAGCTTAGAATGTTAGTTCTCCTGCTCACTAGCTACGTGGTAATGACAACTTAAAAACCTCATGAGACTTATTTTACCTATAAGATGGAGATGGTAATATTAGCTATCTCTGATATGGAGTGCTGATTAAATGAGCCAAAACTTTATCAGTGAAGCACTCCTTGTGCCAAGGAGGCAAAAAATATTAGCCATACTTAGCCCTCCCACCCATCTCCACAAGTCTCAATTTTCATCTTTGTAAAAGTCATAATGATGCTTTTCTTAGCCACCTCACAGTGGAGTTTTGAAGATGAAACAGATTTTTTTCTGAAAAGCTTATGCAATATGGAGTATTAATAAGCAATAGTTTTTGTCCTTTTCTTCTTTACAAACAGTATTCTTAATTTAGTAAGGAAAATACAGTGACAAAATATTCTTAGGTTTCTAATACTGGTCCTGGGTTTTTTTTTTTTTTTTTTTTTTTAAGATTTATTTATTTATTCATACAGAACTGGGGTACAGGCCAGAGGCTCAGGGGCTGTGAGAGCCAGAGACAGAGTGGGGAGCAGAACAGGCAGATCGACGAAGTACACTGCTGAGGGGAGCAGCGGGCGGGTCAGGAGAGGTCTGGCTCGCCATGTGGTCTCCTCCGGGGCAGGCGGCAGGCGGGAATCGAACTCATACGGAAGTGGCTTCAGATTCTCAGTGCTGTGCTTTAACCCGCTGCGCCACCAGGGAGGGCCTTTTTTTTTTTTTTAAGATTTATTTATTCATACAGAACTGGGGTACAGGCCAGAGATGTAGAGTGAGAGGATTCACCAGAGACAGAATGGGGAGCAGGACAGGCAGATCTACGAAGTACACTGCTGAGGGGAGCAGGAGGCAGGTCAGGAGAGGTCTGCCATGCCATGTGGTCACCTCGGGAGCAGGCGGGGATCGAACTCATGCTGAAGTGGCTTAAGTTTCTTAGTGCTGTGCTTTAACCCTCTGCGCCACCAGGGAGGGCTGGTCCTAGGTTTTTAATCCCTTTTGATATTTTTTTCCCTTCTGGTGTGTTTTGCAGATCTGTACCAAGGAATTTTACCACCCGGGCACTGTTTCTCTGTTAACCACCTGGAAAGTTAATTTTTGTAAGACACAAGGGAAAAGCACACACCACGGGGAGAGGAAATATCTAGCAGCATATCCTCGGATGCAGTCACAGTGGTATTTAAATTTACAACAAAAAGAAATTTCTGGTAAGCACAGAATTGGGCTATTGGCTTAGAAATCACCTCCAGGATTTTTTATGTACTTGAGACTGAATGCACTTTATACATCCAAATTACTGGGGCTTTCCCTCTCATGAACAGTTTTGGGTAAACACAGGCAAGTTCTCTTTTTAAATATTCTGTTAGCAAGAGACTCAACCATTACATTACCTTATGACAGGCAAGGTTACAATTAATTAGGTTATAGCTCATCTTAGAGTAATTACATTTTAGATTGGTAGCTCCCTGATGAGATTTTCTTATTTTCGGGAAGAGTTCCACAGATGGCTAATTCTATCAGAGTTGTTTTGATTATGCTAGCTCAAGTTTATAATGATATTTTGACATTTGTCTTCTAGTTACGGGGAGTGTATTTTACGGCTCACGGAGCTCTGTTGTTTCTTCTACCCCAATTCAGAACACCTCCTCTATAATAATCAGGGTGCACATGACGTGATTTCTTTTACATGAGGGAGGGACTATTTAGAGAGAAAGCAGTTAAAAGATGTGATGAAGGACCCATTAATAAAGCACAAGCTCCTTCATACTGTCTTCCAAACACTTCGCTGTCCATGGGGAAAAATTATCACTTTTTAGTATTTAGTTCTTTTTTGATTTAATTGTTTCCTAATATGCATAATTAAGAAGTGCTACTTTAAAAAATCTAAAGTTTATATGTTTTTCTTAGTTTTAATGAAATTACAAGATGGGACCATATATATTTATTACACTCATTAGCACCTTCTCATCTGTCACAATTAACTGATTAAGCTTTCTAACCTGAACAGTAATGAAAAGTAATTCACATCCAACACAGACTTCTGTCTTTAAAATAATGGTTTTGTTGAACTAGTTTTCTCAGATTTTTTTCCTTTTAGAATTCACTTGTTCAATGAACAAAACATATTTGAGTGTCTATGCTGAGTTAGCTCTGGTGTGAAACTGTGTACAAAACAGGAATTACAGTTAGCACATTTTAAATGATCAAAAGTGACTTCAGCATAACATTTTCAATCTAATTTTAGAATAGAACTTGTTTACCTGTCCAACATCTTGGTGCTGGCTCTTTCCAACTTCTCCAGTATCTGAGGAAGTTGGGTGTCGTCATCATAGGACCCTCCCCAACCAAGAACCCGAGCAAGGTCATTGCCAGTCCCTAATGGCAAGACTCCCAGCTGACACTGAAAAAGAGCAGAGCAGGTGGGCTAAAGAGGTTAAGTAGAGGCTCACATTTCTGCATTTCTGTATCAGCAGGTTAGTAAGCACGCATGCTAATATAAATTAAAGAAATTAGCACTTGCCTGTTTATTCAAATTGAGCCTATCAATTTCTGACAAAACCCAGCCTACACTTCCATCTCCTCCACAAACAAGAATCCGGAAATTGTCAAACTTCTGGAATAATCTTAAACTGAAAGTAAGAAACATTTTATTTTAGCACACATAAATAAAAATCATTTATCCCAATTCTTTGTTATTCTGTGTATATTGGTACTTCTGTTAGATTAAACATAAGAACTCTTACCTTTGTATCAATTATACTACAAAAGTTAATTTGAGTAAAATTTTTAACTCAAGAAAACCCTCTATACTAAGAAGGAAGGCAACTAACTGTAAGTAGAGATGGAGATAAAATTAGGAAGGAAAAAATTAGGAGGAAAGGAATGAGAAATGAGAAGGAAAAAAAAGCAGAACCCTAAAAAAGATCAAAAGGTAAATGTACAAGACACCGATAATTGTGACTTTTCTTCCTATTACAATGATATGTTATTTCCGTAAGAATGACTTATTGCAAACCAAGAGTCAGGAATTTAGAACATGGATGCTATTACACAGAATTCCACATAGTTCTCAATTGAGACCCACCAAACCTTGCCAGCAGGAGGATGAGAAAATGAAATCAGGAGCATGAATGAGTACTAGCACCAAACAAGACTTCTAATTACTTTCTCTTCCAGTCCTCTTCCTTCTATCTTCCTTTGCCTCAACTTCCAACACATTCCACCTCCTGAATATACTTTGTACATTTAAGGGTTCTGTTTCAAATGACATAATGTGATGTCTTCCAAAAAAACCATAAATCTATACTATAAATGTATTAAAAGTGCACCAAGGCATAGTTCCCTCATTGGAAATAATTCCCACCCTCTCCAGAGTATAAGATATATACTCCAGAAGGCTGAAACCATTTATAAAAGGATCCTGTTGTCCTTTATGTGAACTGAACCTGACATCCTTGAGGAACTGGCCTTGAAACCCAGGATGGCACTGTGGTTTTCTCATAATTGATGATTTGTATTTTATATAAACCAATACTAGCTGTGGAAGCATGGATTATTCTGTGTCTTTACCTTGACTTTTCTGCGCCCTTCACCCAGAGTATGAACAGGGAAAGTTTGAGACAAGGAATTTTTCCTGGCAAAAGTCCTGGTATGAGGAATTACATACATGTGATGAAAACATCAACAAAGCTAGGTTTAGATCCACTATACCCCTGACGATTCCCCTGACTCTCCCTGATCCCCACACGTTAACACATTCCCTGAATGTCTTCTTGCTTCTTTGACTTATCTTCCATTTGATTCTAAACTAGTAATAGGCTGTCCTTGGAACAGGGCTGCCCCTTGTTTAACCTTTAATTGATTAGTTAATTATACAATATTTGTTTTCTTAGGTGATTTACCTTTTTTTTTTAAAAGAATTATATATTTATGCATACAGAACTGGGGTTCAGTCCAGAGGTGCAGAGATGATAAAAGGATTCACCAGAGACAGAGCAGGGAGCAAACAGGCAGACTGATGAAATACCCTGCTGAGGGGAGTAGCAGGCAAGACAAGAGCAGTCTGCTGCACCATGTGGGTCAGCACCCTAGTTGGGGATCAAACTCCCACTGAAATGGCTGCTGCTAGCTTCTTAGTGCTGTACTCCAATCCATTGCACCACCAGGGAGAGCCCTGATTTACCTTTCTTAAGGGAGTTTCTTTGGCATAACCATTCTAGGCTTCTCATTGTCCCAACTCACTTGGGCTCAAGTAATCTTTTCTCATCCCATGCCATAACATCCTAATGAGACAACTGGTCTTCCATGTAAACCATTTTCTAAAGTTATTTTGTGTGTACAAGCTTATCTTTGTTAGACCAAAGCACATTGTGATTATTCTTCAGCAAATTCCAGAACACTTTCTAAACAAATTTTGGAATTTAGCATACAAGGAAGTTTTATAAGTATCAAAAATGTTGTGTTAAAACTTACAACTAAACATTAAAGAGGGGAGGAGTAAGAAGACCGTACAGATGTCTAAATGAATCTATAGTGTTTTGATCTGAAAAACCAGACATACTCATGCTCAGGGCTACATGTTTTCAAACAAGATTGATAAAAAATCAATTACCCTAAATGAGGTCCTCCATTCATTAAATCAAACACCTGAGCTGGATTTAGTAACTGCTTGAATCGCCGGAGGAACTTTACTCCCTGATTATCTCCACTCTTAGAATTGACAAAAACCAATAGAGGACTAACACAGAATGAAAATGTTGCTCTACAGAAACCTGAAAAAAAAAAAAAAGGATAAGATCAATACTTAGTTTCCTCTCTTAAACTATTAACAAAAATTAGAGGAAGACAATTTCATAAAAATAGAGAACCTTGTTTATTACTTTAACAATGTTGTAATTTAGTTCCTCAAATGAATATTTATTACTTACATGCAAATAAGTTTTTATGTATACCCTATAATTAAATATATCAAAAATTATAAAAACATTAGTCAATGACAACTTAATATATACCTTGTGCCTTAACAATACTTAACTATAAGAAAAACCAATCACTGTCTGTACTCATTTCTTAAAGAATTCATGTGCATAATCAGTATTATAAAATATTTTAACTGCTCCTTAGTGAGGCTTGAGAAAGTATTTTAAATTTGTATATATATATATATATATATATATATATATATATATATAAAACAACAGAAACTTGATATATCAGGATGGGGGGGTTGTTAATAATGCAAATTTAAAGAAATTACTTCTTAGGTTTATATCCTGATTGCTATGATATTACCAACATGATTTATATAAAAAGTTTGAAAAGCATATGGCACTTTACCAATGCAAACATTAATAACAGTGTATGGTAAAAAGCCTTTAGTAATATGATTGCATAGAAGTTTATTAGCCAAAAATCACATTATAAAAGATTCCTTAACTCTTAAAAAAGTTAAGGATTATAGAAAAGTGATTGATTTATAAGTATATATATTTCTGCAATAAAACTTTAGAAAAACAAATTTTAATAAGAGCTATGTTAATGGGCAGTAATCAATTATGGAGGAAAAATAGTCATAATAAAAATTAAACTTGGATTTCAGTACAGAGCAATGATCTTATTGTATATGCTTGGCTGTCAGATCTAAAAGTCTCATACATAGTACCTTCACCAATGTGCCAGTAGCAATGTTAAACTTTAGTTTTAGAAGATTTGTATATAAGGTAAAAGTTTATTCAGTGATTTATATGGAGTTATTATATAAGCCTTATCAGAAAAAATCTATTTGTTCAAGGAAAATAAACATATAATTTAACAATAAATAAATTAGAAATATACATACTTACACTACCATTACATACCATCAGAATCAGTGCTGTTTAGTGCAATTGGAGGTATGATAGACACTTTACACTGGCCAAGTGGACAAACAGGATGGTACAAATCTTTGCAGGCAGTGTGTACCTAAAAGTAAGCAAACAAGCCTTCAAGAGTCACAAAAATAAATCAATGCTTTCTTTTGTTACAAATTATACCCAAGGAACTCATCACTGGCTATCAACTGTATCACAAGCTGTTCAATAATTCATAAACTATTTTAATGACACAATAGTTCGCTTCCATGGAATGGTTTAATCATGTTAGAGAGGGGATCTGACTTGGTCTACGCAGCCTATTTTATGTTTGTCTCAGGCAAGTAGTATATAATCAACAAATACCCGGCAATGGCAAGGAGAGAGAAAGGAGTATAGAAGGAAGGGAAACAAAGAGGAAGGGGAAATAGGAGGAAGAGAGAGTGGGAGGAGGAAAGCTAACAAGTATATATCAATTAACACTGTCCCGGAAAAAAACTGGTGACATCCATCTTGTATAATTCTTACAGAACTTAATGCAAATAAATCTAAATCACTCTATAGTGAAACGCTATATTCATATATCCTTTTTTTTAACATTTTAATGTTGGTATAGTGATACACACACACACATAGTTATAATTTTCATGTTAATATAGTTACAAATATATCCAGGTCTATTTTTCAGCCATACTTCTGTATCTATAAGGAAAAGGAAAAGGTCTTACTAATGTAAATCATCTTGGAAAGTGAGACACACCACAGGCACTCAGTAAACGTGATGATCATAGAACAAAAAATTTCCAAGTTTCACTCAAGATATTATTGAAAATAAAAGGTGCAGGGAAAACTTAAGTAGGACCAAGGCAACTTAGAATACCCTATTGTATTCTAAATAAAAATAAAGCCTTTAAATGTTTTAATCAGTAAAAGCAGACAGTTTATTAAATATTACACATGGTCTTATTTTACTAACTTTTAGAAAACTGGATTTTTTTTTTTTAAAGATTTATTTGTACATACAGAACTGGGGTACAGGCCAGAGGCTCAGGGGTGGTGAGAGGCTTCACCAGGGACAGAGTGGGGAGCAGAACAGGAAGATCGATGAAGTACACTGCTGAGGGGAGCAGCGGGCGGGTCAGGAGAGGTCTGCCACGCCATGTGGTCACCTCCGGGGCAGGCGGGGATTGAACTCATGCGGAAGTGGCTTTAACTTCTCAGTGCTGTGCTTTAACCCGCTGCGCCACCAGAGAGGGCCTGGATTTTTTTTTTTAATATGATGATTCATTTATTCTTTTTTTCAATGAAGTTTATTGATAATACTGGTTTATAACACTATTTGTTTTAGAGGTTACAGAATCACTACAACCCCACCCCACAAATCCCAATAACCCTCCCATGTTCCCCTGGGACTCCTCCCTCCCTCGCCCACAAACTGGCCCTCTCTCCTGGTTGCCTCAGTTTTGCAGGCAGATGTTAAGGATTTGTTATTGGTTTGTATTTTTATGACCCTTTTTTTTGTTTGTTTCTCTTTATTTCACATATAAGTGAAACTACCAGTATTTATCTTTCTCCTCCTGACTCATTTCCTTTAGCATTATTCTGTCCAGTTTCATCCATACTGTCTAAATGGCAAGAGTTTATCATTTTTTTACAGCTAAGAAATATGCCATTGTATATATGTCACATTTTTCTGTTTCACTCCTATGTCGTTGGCCCTGAGGTTGTCTCCATGGCTTGGTGATTGTAAACAGGGCTCCAGTGAACAAGGGATACCTGTATTTTCCTTCCAGCTAGGGTTTTAGCATCCTTTGGGTAGATACCAGGAGTGGAATTGCTGGGTTGAATGTCAGATCCATTTTTGACACTTTGAGAAACCGCTATCTGTACTGTTTCCCAGAAGCTGGCTAGTCTCCAGGGGTTTCTTTTTCTCCATAGTCTCACCAAAACCTGTTTCTTGTCTTTTTGATAATGGCTACTCTCATAGATGTGACATGGCATCTCATGGTTCTGATATGTGTTTTCCTGATGGTAAGACATGATGAACAGTTTTTCATATACTTATCTACACATCTTCCTTGGAGAAATGTCTACTTAGCCCTTTTGCCCATTTTTTTTTTTAAATTGGGTTCTTTGTTTCCTTTTTGTTGAGTTGTATATTTTGGATCTGTCAGATGTATGAAGTGGAAATATTTACTGGTAGTTATTTACTTTAGCTTGTGTTTTCCTTAGCTTCATAGTGGATCACCCAAAGACATCCCTGAAACCAATGTCTTGGAGTAATTTTGTCCATTTTTTGGTAATATTTTCAGATCTCATCTACATTTCTATTAATAAATTTTGAGTTAATTTTTTGTGTGAGGTGTCAGATGATGATTTAGTATCATTCTTTAGCATGTGGCTACCCAGAAAAATTGGTATTTAGTTAAACACATACTTATCAAAACATATGAGAAAACTAAAATTTAAAAAAGAAGAGAAAATTAGGTCAGTTACCAGAAAATGCCTTAACATACATAGTAATTCTCATAATATGGTAAAATTTTCAAGAAAAAATAACTGATACGTACAAACCTTTCATATTTCTGTAGTTCAAACTTTTCTAAAGGAAACATTTAAAAGTTTATCAGAGCCAATATAATAAAAATTTTGAAACCCTGAAGAAAAAAAAAGAGAAAACTAAAATTTAATAGTGATTCCTATTCTGCTGACAACCCAATATTGGACAATTTCCTTTTAGGAGTTAAAATAACAATTCAAGTGAATTTTAGAAAAATGAGCATGCACAATTTAAAAGGAGTTTTATAAGTATGAAAATCATAGAACAAAACAGAAAAATCTTTAAAACAATGTTAAGTTTAAAAAGTATAAGATAAAACTGTATCTTCAAAGAAGAGGTAGAGCTACCTCCAGAGAATAGACACAACTAGAAAAAAATAGGAGTAAACTCCTTCGGGTGGTGGAACTGTGGTTTGGTTTGATTTGTTTTGGTTTCAACTAGATGACTGTTTTTACACACTAGATATTCTGCTCTTAAAAATTTAGAAGAAACAAATGAAGTCATAGAAGTGGAGAAACAGACTTCAATAACCTTACAAAATAATAAAAACAACAGTAAATGCATACATCAGCGATTGTCTCCCACCCCCACCAAAGAAATTTTAAATGGGATGAAAACTTAAAATGTTGTTTAGGGCCTTCCCTGGTGGCGGCAGCGCGTGATAGCACCACATTAAGAAGCTAAAGCCACTTCAATTTGAGTTCGATTCCTGCCTGCCCCGGAGGTGATCCACATGTAGCGGCAGACATCTCCTGACCTGCCCTCAGCAGTGTATTTTGCCAGTCCACCTGTTCTCCTCACTCTGTCTCTGATGAATCCTCTCACAGTCACTGCACC